AAAATGATCAACAATAAATTTAATTCATGTATCACTGAAATTCAACAAACAAAATAATTCAGCGCATTTCAAATGAATATTAATAAAAAGCAAAACGGCGTGCCACGCCGTTTTACTTTTTATTATTATTCCTTTGGAAAGAATTGAATTAATTTGTTTGTTGCATTTCAGTGACATGAATTAAATTGTTTGTTGATAATTTTTATTCGGCGCTGCGGTCGAACGGATTATGGTCATACTAGTTCCTCTTACAGTTTTCTTGGTTGGTGTCTGTAAAATGTCATCAATTTGTCGTTAGTGTTACTATTCTGTTATGCGACAGTTGAGAAACACATTGCACACTGTGCGAAAGTAGCGATTCACAATATTCACATTGAATTTGAATCGCTGGAGATCAAATCCATTTGTAAAAACAATATCAGGAAGTTTGTTCCACATACATGCCACTCCTCAAATGAAAGAGTTCTTGAACAGTAAAGATCGAGGTGTACTGAGTTGAACGTCAAAACGATGAGCAGCCACAGTCTGCCGCGTATTTCTGGTATGTACCGCTCTTGGTGGAATCAAGTGTGCTAAGTTACTTGTACACTTCTCGTGAAAGTGTCTATAGAGGAGAGACAAATCTCCAACCTCTCTTCGATATTCCAGACTACCGAGAGGGCTTTTTCTACAAGAGCGGTGCCTGTGCGAAAGTAGCGATTCACATTGGATTTGAATCGCTGGAAAAACGTTCTCTGGAAGTTTACTTCACAGAAACGCAGTTCTCCAAATGAAAGAGTTCTTGAACAGTGAAGTTCGAGGTGTACTGAGTTGAACCTCAAAACGATGAGCAGCCACAGTCTGCCGCGTATTTCTGGTATGTACCGCTCTTGGTGGAATCAAGTGTGCTAAGTTACTTGTACACTTCTCGTGAAAGTGTCTATAGAGGAGAGACAAATCTCCAACCTCTCTTCGATATTCCAGACTACCGAGAGGGCTTTTTCTACAAGAGCGGTGCCTGTGCGAAAGTAGCGATTCACACTGTATCGCCGGAGAAAAAATCCATTTGGAAAAACGTTCTCAGGAAATTGATTCCATATAAATGCAGTTCTCCAAAAGAAACAGTTTTGAAACAGTGAAGTTCGAGGTGGACTGATTTGAACCTTGAAACGATGAGCAGCCACAGTGTGTCTCGAATTTCTGATATGTACCGCTCTTGGTGGAATAAAATGTGCCAACTCACTTGAACACTTTCCGTGGAACTATCTATGGAAGAGAGATAAATCTCAAACCTCTCTTCGGTGTTCCAGACTGCCAAGGTTCCAAGTGATGTTCGCGTCTCCAATCAGTTGGATGGCTCTTTTCTGAATGGAGTCCAGCAGCTTCAGAGGGTGTGCTTAGGGGCAGAGCTCCATACATGAGAACAATACTCCAAAGAAGGTCTGATCTGAGCTATATAAAGCATCATAGTTGCTGAGGTGTGTTCAGTTTTCTGGTTCGAAACACTGTTCCAATATTTTGAGAAGCAGCCTTTACATTCTAGCTACATAATTGTGCCAAGACATATTGGTGTCGACTTTAACCTCCAACAAACTTATCGAAGCAGAGAGCGGAATTGTCTGTCCTGACATCATTATATCCGAATTCCATATTGATGATCGCTCAAGATGTTGAAGCCTTCCAAATATTTGAGGTTATGGTGGTTTACGGCCTTCTCCATGATTTTTGATATAATTGATAGCAAAGCGACTGGTCTATAGTTATTTGGAAGATTCTTCTTTCNTATATATATATATATATATATATATATATATATATATATATATATATATATATATATATATATATATATATATATATATATATATATATATATATATATATATATATATATATATATATATATATATATATATATATATATATATATATATATATATATATATATATATATATATATATATATATATATATATATATATATATATATATATATATATATATATATATATATATATATATATATATATATATATATATATATATATATATATATATATATATATATATATATATATATATATATATATATATATATATATATATATATATATATATATATATATATATATATATATATATATATATATATATATATATATATATATATATATATATATATATATATATATATATATATATATATATATATATATATATATATATATATATATATATATATATATATATATATATATATATATATATATATATATATATATATATATATATATATATATATATATATATATATATATATATATATATATATATATATATATATATATATATATATATATATATATATATATATATATATATATATATATATATATATATATATATATATATATATATATATATATATATATATATATATATATATATATATATATATATATATATATATATATATATATATATATATATATATATATATATATATATATATATATATATATATATATATATATATATATATATATATATATATATATATATATATATATATATATATATATATATATATATATATATATATATATATATATATATATATATATATATATATATATATATATATATATATATATATATATATATATATCATCTGAGATGGTCATGACTCCATCGAAAAATTTTGTTTTAGAACTCATCAAAACTTATAAGTTTGCACAAATACTTCAATCGAAATGTCCTCATTCTCAAATGAAGAAGAAATAGTACGAAAACAGCACAAATTTCTTCTAAATTATTTTCGGAAAGAAAACAGTAGGATAGAAAATTATTCGGGATTTTGGACAAACACTTGGCTGAGTACGGTGCGTTTCAAAAACCAAGACTGAATTCATGAGCTCGTTTGAAATGCACAGAAAGTATTAGAAAAAGTGTTCGAAATAATGGCCTTCCTCTTGAATACATAAGCGAGCTCGTCGTCTCAAATTAGGAACAGCCCTAACAATATACCTTCTTCTAATAGATCAGAATTGCGTGATATTTTCTCTAAGTTCACCCACTGTGTCATATTCTTGCTCTCCATAGATTTTGTTCTTCAAAGTTCCTCACAAAAAAGTATCCGAAACTGAGTGTTCAGATGACCTTGCCAGCAGCTGTTACAATCAACAAGGGTAAACATTTCCATATATTCTTCGAATTCGTTTCTTAAGAACCGTAGGTCCAAGTATTCGGTCGTTATAAATTCCAGCTCACACATTCAAACGAAACCGAACTTGTGGTCTGACTTCTCTGAAGTGTAGTGGAATATTTTGACTACGAATGTGCTCATTATCTCGAAAAAGTACTTTTGTTGCTGTAAATAATGTTTTTCAAGAAGCCATCAACAAAATTTCATCCTTCTCTCAGGATTACCTGAATGTAATTTTTGTGAAATATGTTTCTTATAACATTACTAACCACTTTTTTGATATCCCACCAAACGCCCATCTGTGGCACATCCATTACAGCCAAGACTTGATGCGTTGATTTGGAAAGATCTGCATTCATCTAAAAAAGTACAAAAAACAAATATACTTCTGCGGATATGGAAAGAACAATTAATTCACCTCGGCTAATAAGTTTTTTCTAGTATTTTTCTCCCATACTTCATTCTAGGTTTTTGAAACGCACCATACTCAGCTAAGTGTTTGTCCAAAATTCAGAATGATGTACTATCCGGCTGTTTTCTTTCCGGAAATAATTCAAAATGAATTTGTGCTGTTTTCGCCTTTGTGACGAGAGTCGCCATCACCAGGGAAATACGTCATCTTCATGAAACTTATTTCATTCAATGTATCAGAATCATCTGCTTTTGTTGAACTGAACAAAAATGTTTTTTTTACAAATCTTCTCTTTGTAATAACCCAAAAATAGAAAAACATTTTCATAACGCTCCTTTGTATTCCCGTATTTCCACACAAAACTTTTGGAATATCATTAGAGCTGAATCCGGGTATGATTTTTTCTGATGTGGAATATTGAAGGAATCTATATCCTATGTACTCGAATGCATTGATTCAATTTTTTTGGAGTTGGGAATATTTTTGGAATATCATTCATGAGAAACGGTGTTCATGAATATATAATGATTATAAATCTCTAGAAGTTGAATAAAAAACTCTCTAACATATCATTTTCATCACTAGTCACTACGTACTACAAATTATGCAACTACAACTAAGGTGTTATTGTGAGAAACGGTGCAACTTAGCAGCTCCGGATTCGCAACATTCCTCTCAGCCAGGTCCTAGTCTCCATATATAGAAATGTTCCATATCGCCATATCTTCGTCCCGTAAAACTTCGAGTCCTTCTTCATTTGGTTCGTTCAAGTCACGATGCTCTAGCATCTAGATCTAACTGATCTAATCCTACTCATAGAACGTAGTGCTTGGTGCTAAAAGCTATTGATTTTCCACATTTCTAGCGAATCTAAGCGAATTAGAAAGTCATAAACTTACATTGAGTTTTCTTTCAAATATCTTTCCGTTGGGCACAAATCGAACTGAATAACTTCCAATTCAGGGGTGGAAGTTTTGAGACTGTTCCCAAAGGACTTCTCTTCTGGGATCGAAACCGATTGACAGCTTGATTCACTGTAAAAAATGTAATAGTTTCAGAATAGGGGGTGTTACTCCTTATGCAACATTCAATATCGCTAATAACCCTCGAGGTTGATGCGACATTAAATAAATGTAATTAAAACAAAAATTTCAATTGAATATAATACTGAGAGACTGAACCTATAGCACTCGTACAAACATTTAGTTTGTTTAATACATGTTCTTTACTAGAATGATTAAAATGAGTAGGTATCTGATGGAAAATATGTTTTAATTTATCAAATGTACTTTTGCATCTCAATGACTCTTATACAGAGAAACTTCTATTGCACATTTTATTAACGTAAATCAATACTCAACATATTTTTGTTTCAAAGTAATTAGAAGATGAAGATTTTGGCTTTCTATTTCGCCATAAAGCAATTCAAAATAAAATATCCACGGCGATGTGTAGATCATGCAAAGAAGTACCTTTCAGACATGAACAACTACTTCACATAAACATCGAAACATTAATATGGACATTTCATTAATATTGAAAGTAGTTGTTTCGAGAGGGCTTTTTCTACAAGAGCGGTGCCTGTGCGAAAGTAGCGATTCACACTGTATCGCCGGAGATTAAATCCATTTGGAAAAACGTTTCCAGGAAATTGATTCCATATAAATGCAGTTCTCCAAAAGAAACAGTTTTGAAACAGTGAAGTTCGAGGTGGACTGAGTTGAACCTCAAAACGATGAGCAGCCACAGTGTGTCTCGTATTTCTGATATGTACCGCTCTTGGTGGAATCAAATGTGCAAAATCACTTGAACACTTCCCGTAAAAGTATCTACAGTCCAACCTTTCTT